AATAAAAAAAAAAATAAATAAATAGTGCCGTATGCACTTTTTGTTATTTAGGAAAAGCAATATATGCACACACACACACACACACACACACACACACACACATACACACATATATATATATATTTGTGTGTGTGTGTGTCTATATATAATATTGCTTACCAGTGTCCATGGTGGATATGATCGTGGTGGCCTCAAGGTAATTGTGCTCGGATGCGTCCTGTCCGACTTCTATATTGGTCTGGATAGAAGGTTGTTCCAGAGGAGAAAACACCGCCTGTCCTTGCTGGGTTAAATTAGTTATATATATTTAATTTTTATATTATTTGTATTTATAATTAAGTATTTTAATATATTAAATAATTATTTTCTTTGCATACCCATTTTCTTTGGAGATTTTTGCGCATTTTTTCTAACCGAATGTTGGTCTGATTAACAATTTTTATTTTAAGCAGTTTATTTATTATTATTTTCTACTACTGGATTATAACGTAATAAATTGTTTGGCCAGTTAAGCACTCATTATGACACAGGGCTGATCTAGACTCTTAGGAACATCCTTTCTCATTCATGTTCTTATATATATATATATATATATATATATATATATATATATATATATATATATATACCTACATACCTGTATACGTACATATATACATGGGTCCATATACCAACAAGTACGTGTCTGCTTATGTGTATATATGATTTGTAAAAACACACACACACACACACACACACACACACACATATACTTCATGGATGATATCATTACCTTGGATTTACGTGACGTCGGAGAGGAGGGGTGCTTGCACAGCCTAGATTCGGCTTTAGCTTCCGGATCGAAGCGAGGAATCCACGTTTTATCCTGAGTTCCGTTTCGGGCTCTGAATCCCTCCGGATCTGCGCTCGCGAGGGTCAACATCTCTGGTGAAGTCGGTATCCAGTTAAATTGCTCAGGCGTTCGCTTACTTTGGGACTGCAGTCAATGGACCATTGCTTGATCACAGCCATATGCAGCACTGAAATCGCTCAGAACAATGCAAATAGCAAACTCAGGACAGTTTGGCGTAAATTTCAACATAATTTGATGCCTAAAGAACATTGAATTTGGAGGAAATAAATGTAATCACAAAGATGATGATGACGCTTCCCAATGCACCATTTACACTAATGGTGATCTCACAAGATTCTCTTATTTTCTGAGTGAATGACAGCTTTAATAGGTCTGATTAAAGTAAGATGCTTCTAGAGTATTTCTGTGATTTTATAACCCATGCTCTTAAAGTTACAAATCATACATAGAATATTGTGGTACTTAAAACAAAGTTGTATGTATGCATGTAATTTTATTGCAGAATTTGCGATTTTGCTAATATATTCAGTAGAACAGAATTGTAATAAGGGTTCGAATAACTGAGGTGTCAGTTCCGTAGGTTGGGAATGCAGCTTCAGTAAATACCATAATGGAGAGGAAGGGAAGCATGGCTATACTTGTACCCAAGACCGTATCCTGGATACTGAAGAGAAGCGTAACCTAGTAAGCCAGGGAAGCTAGGATCAGCTTCAGCTTCACGTTTCTTGATAAGATGGTTGTAAGACTGAACGGAGGAATGGCTGCCGAATGGATGGTGTGTAATGGCTGAGCTGTAGCCATAGCCAATGCCATAAGGACGAATAAAAGGATGGCCGATGCCAAAGCCAGGTTCAGCTTCACGTTTCTTGACCAAGTGATTGTAGGACTGGACGGAGGAATGGCTGCCGAATGGATGGTGTGTAATGGCTGAGCTGTAGCCATAGCCAATGCCATACGGACGAATAAAGGGTAGCCATCCAAAGCCAGGTTCAGCTTCACGTTTCTTGACTAAGTGATTGTAGGACTGGACGGAGGAATGGCTGCCGAATGGATGGTGTGTAATGGCTGAGCTGTAGCCATAGCCAATGCCATAAGGACGAATAAAAGGGTGGCCGATGCCAAAGCCAGGTTCAGCTTCACGTTTCTTGACTAAGTGATTGTAGGACTGGACGGAGGAATGGCTGCCGAATGGATGGTGTGTAATGGCTGAGCTGTAGCCATAGCCAATACCATAAGGACGAATAAAAGGGCCGATGCCAAAGCCAGGTTCAGCTTCACGTTTCTGTTCAGCCGTCACGAGGACAAACAACAGTGATATAACCTGTAGGATTAAGCGAAAATGGTTATAAACACATATAAATATGTATATATAAGTTTGCATATTCACAAGCATTTGCACATGTAGACAAACACAGGAGTGGTAAAAGTAACGCATATAACTTTTCAATCATTTCCTCCCCTCCCCGGACCCGTTCAAAAAATAAAAGAAAATATGATCAAGAATATGCTAGTGCTGTATGCACTTTTCGTTATTGAGGGAAAGAGAGATATGCACACACACACAACATACACATACACACATAAATAAATGTGTGTGTATGTGCGTGTACGTATATATATATATATATATATATATATATATATATATATATATATATATATAATATATTATATATATATATATATATATAATAGCTTACCAGTGTCTTCATGGTGGACATGATCGTGGTAGCCTCAAGGTGATTGTGCTCGGATGCGTCCTGTCCAACTTTTATATTGGTCTGGATAATAGGTTGTTCCAGAGAAACCACGCCCATCCTGTCCTTGGTGAGGTTAAATGCTTATTTATATATTCAATGTTCTATTTATTTACATTTGTTAATTAATATTATCAATATCTACATATTTATATAATTATATTCGTTACATACCGTTTTTCTTCGTAAAGTTTTTGCGTATTTTTTTTGTAATTGAATGTTAATATGTGATCAACAATGTTTATTTTATGCAGTTTTTTTTTCTAACAACTGGATTATGACATAATAAATTGTTTGGTCAGTTAAGCACTCATTAGGACACAGGGCTGATCTAGACTCTCAGGAAAATCCTTTCTCATCTATGTTTTTCCACATAATTACCTACATACATGTATACGTATACACATGGGTCCATATACTAACAAGTACATGTCTGCGTATGTGTATACATATGATTTATAAACACACACACATATATATGTGTACATACACACACATATATATGTTTGTTTTCCTGTGTATACATACAAATATATGTATATATATATATATATATATATATATATATATATATATATATATATATATAATATATGTATGTATGTATGTATGTATGTTTATATGTATATATGTGTATACTTCATGTATGATATCGTGACCTTAGATTTTCGTGACTTCGGAGAGGAGGGATGCTTGCACAGCCTAGATTCGGCTTTAGCTTCCGGATCGAAGCAAGAAATCCTCGTTTATCCTGAGTTCCGTTTCGGGATCTGAATCCCTCCGGATCTGCGCTCGTGAGGGTCAACATCTCCGGTGAAGTCGGTTTCCAGTTAATCTTCTGCTGAGGTGTCCGCTTCTCTTGGGGCTGCAGTCGAAGGACCACCACTTCGGGGGCCATCCTCACTCGAGCCGCGGTCCTGGTTCAAGAGAGTAGCCCAGCGTTTGACAGCGGAAAGGACAGGGCACTGTCTCCCCACGCATCAACTGTACCACTTTCCCTTAAATCACGGAAAATTTTATCACAGCCTGCTGTCTAAATTCACCCATTTTGCCGGAAAGTTACTATTCTCACTCACGAGAAGTCACTGTTGAATGGAATAAAAAAACGTTGAGAAAATGACAGCCTGTACATTACTTGTAACATGTACGGTTCCACTCTTATCCTTTTAGGCCAAAAACTCACTGAACACTCCTCGTGGATAGATACACAAACACAACACACACACACACACACACACACATATACACACATACATATATATACTTATCTATATCTATATATCTATATATATAGCTATATATATTTGTTTATATATTCATATTAGTAGACATTCAACACATATGTATAAACATACATAATCCACTTTGATTACAGCCAGATAGTGCACTGAAATCGCTCAGAACAATGCGAATAGCTCTCCGAGGAAAGTTTGGCGTAAAACACCTCTTGCATATTGACCTTACAAGCATCAGTAGGATTGTATACAGCAATAATTGACATGAAGCCAAATGCAAGCTTCACTCCTATATAGTTATCGAGTAACGACTACCGAGGACTGAAGTCTGCTAGAGATATGTATGGCTATCCCCATGAGATGGTGACCATCACTGTGGCCTGATTAGGAAAAGGTGTAGCCATCCACACTGTTCGTGCCTATACCAGGTCTTCTCGACAGCAGTGGTGAACAGTACTTCTACCGGAAATAACGGACGTTGCGTCATTCAGCGTGGGCGTCACCTCTATCTACCCGCCGACCTTGCCCTATGCAGATCCCATAGTTCGGCTGTGGCGTTCCCGAAGAAATTGCTGCAAAAGCCTCATACTAGTTTGGAGTCAGGAACGCAGACGAGATGGGTAACCCTTCTCCAGACGGACGCTAACTCAAATACCTAACCCTAGATAGCGTTAACTGCTTAGAAGGCTTCCACACCTTCGCTTCACATTCCCCTGAGCATGAAGCACCCATCCACAATTTGCCTTATGACTATTTCCTTACTATGGCATGTGATCACTTCAACTCACAGCAATTTTACACATCTGCCAGTAGTTATATGGCACATGAGACTTGTTTTCATAGTTATTCCAACACACAATTTAATTCTTAACGCAAATACTGACAGTGATTTTTGTGAAAGTAAATGTAATCCTAAAGATAACGATGACCCTTCCCAGTGCATCACTGGACTTAACATCTACGGCGATCTCACAAGATTCTCTTCTTTTCAGAGTGAATGACAGCTTTAATAGGTCTGATTTAAGTAAGATGCTTTGTGAGTTTATAACCCATACTCTTAAGTCTGATCATTTTTCCAATACGTTTTTTTATCATAAGGTTACAAATTATACATAGAATATTGTGGTACTTAAAAGAAACACTAAGTGGTATGTATGCATGTAATTTTATTGCAGAATTTGCGATTTTGTTAATATAAGCAATAAAACAGAACTGTAATAAGGGTTCGAATGAGGTGTCAGTTCCGTAGGTTGGGAATGCAGCTTCAGTAAATACCATAATGGAGAGGAAGGGAAGCATGGCTATACTTGTACCCAAGACCGTATCCTGGATACTGAAGAGAAGCGTAACCTAGTAAGCCAGGGAAGCTAGGATCAGCTTCAGCATCACGTTTCTTGATGAGGTGATTGTAGGACTGGACGGAGGAATGGCTGCCGAATGGATGGTGTGTAATGGCTGAGCTGTAGCCATAGCCAATACCATAAGGACGAATAAAAGGATGGCCGATGCCAAAGCCAGGTTCAGCTTCACGTTTCTTGACCAAGTGATTGTAGGACTGGACGGAGGAATGGCTGCCGAATGGATGGTGTGTAATGGCTGAGCTGTAGCCATAGCCAATGCCATACGGACGAATGAGAGGGTAGCCAATTCCAAAGCCAGGTTCAGCTTCACGTTTCTTGACTAAGTGATTGTAGGACTGGACGGAGGAATGGCTGCCGAATGGATGGTGTGTAATGGCTGAGCTGTAGCCATAGCCAATGCCATACGGACGAATAAAAGGATGGCCGATGCCAAAGCCAGGTTCAGCTTCACGTTTCTGTTCAGCCGTCACGAGGACACACAACAGTGATATAACCTGTAGGATTAAGCGAGAATGGTATATGTATATAAGTTTGCACATATTGTACAAGCATGTGCGCTTGCAGACAAACACGGGAGTGGTAAAAATAACGCAAATAACTTTTCAAGCACTTCCTCCCTCCGTAACGCGTTCAAAAAT